AAAAATTAAGTGAAAAGAAAGAGAACCTTTTTGATGAACTAAAACCTGTTGATGTTGCCTGCTCCTATACGGATTGCTCACAAATGACCTACTACCGGATATAGCAGATTCAGCTGCACTACGATGACTATCCCGGACCTCTCGGTCTGCTCTGTAAACTGTAGGAAAAGGTTGAAATGCCTCTGATGAACCGTTCCTTCCTACAATTGAATTCGAAAGAGTATTTCTTCCAGATGAATCTTTGCCAGCATCTTTGGGAGGATGACGGCGAACACCAACAACCCCAACTTCACGCTTGATAGCTCCAACAGCACCAGATGATCTGGAATCAGGAGAAGGCACATGGACAGGATCTGCAGATGACGAATAAACCCCAACAATTGAACTACTCGATGATTGAGTGCCAGAATTTGCTTGAAAGTTATTGGGCTTCACTTTCTGTGACTGCAAAGCAGCATTATGAATAAAACTCCGCTTTTCCTCTGATATTTCTTTCCTAGAAACACCACCTGAATTTGCATCTCGGGATTGCCTGGCATGTGAACTGGATGGTGTGCTAGAAGTTTGGGATGAACTTTGAGAACTAAGAGGTCTCTGATTGTTTGGAGTTCCAGTTGAACTGCACAATGGTAATAAAAGGGGAATACTCAGTGTGCACTATTTCACAAGAACTATAATATCAGTAAATACATGCAAAGGGAACAAGAGAATAAATCAAGATTAGTGCAACAAGCAAACAGAAATAAATAACTACCAAATAGCATACCCCTTTTCAGGAACATTCTTGGGCACTTGTTCATTTAAAGAAGTTGAGCATTGTGACAAAGGAGGCTTCATATCTTTATTTGCATTTTGATTGACTCTGTTGTCCCTTATAACACGAAACTCTCTATTGACTCCTACATTACCAGGCAAAACAGTCCGAGTATAGCCTCCTCTTCGAGTACCACGTTCAGGATATGTACAAAATCTCATCCCTTGATCACCATTCTCAGAAAACTTTCTAGCATCCATGGAACCTTGGTGCTCAATGCTCTATCATAACGAAACAACAGTTCAGAGAAACTTTATACATTAACCCCTCTAGAGGTTCACATTTCAAGATGCAACAAATAATATTGAAGGCATTAAGCAATTGTTTCAATCTCTGAGGATACAAATTCAATCATATGCTTAAATATTATAGACAAATTAATAGCAGAACAACATTGAACACCTAAGACTTCAAAAAAGAAGGAAGCACCCATCAAATACAGAGACTCTTTGCAAATCTACAGCCAAAGCTTAAGATATACAACATTGTGAACATGGCTCTCTTGCTAAAAAACACAAATTAACACAGAAAAATTTTGCCAAAAATGATATTAAGATGATATATAAGATTATACCTCTTTCTTCCGATCTCTTTTTCTCCTTACCACATGAAATGTATCTGAGAAGAAACAATTAGACTGTATGTAAATAAGAAACATTCATAAAAGTGAATGTGAAATTTTACCTAAACAAATATATACGATGAAAAAAAGGATGAATTGTACAAGCAATCTAGTTGTGCTGTTCAACAAGGACCGAAATGCCATTTTCATAACATACAAAAGGATATGCTGCTTACTTTCCAAGAGTTGAAATCACTTATAAATGTTATAACACAGTACAGAAATTACCATAACATGATACTTCTGTTTGCTCTTTGGCCACGGGATTCAACCAACCTTGATAAACCTAGATTATGATTCCTAGTTACACTAATAAATCTAACACCGTACTACCCTCTTCCCCAATGTCTATGGGACCAAACGAAGATCATGAAACAACCTATAGATTGTTTATCAGTATGCTCAAAACTCAATTTGAAGATAAAATACACCTGATAAAAGAAAAAAGATGAATTAATTCACAACTTCCAGACTCAGAAACTGTACCTACAATACCACCAAAGCAAAGCAAAAGACTAAAAGAAGTATCAAAAAACAAGCAAAAACGACATTCAAGCACGCCAAAACAATGATCAACTTTCACACACCAAAACAACACAAAGTAAAACAACCCGATTCCCTAAAACACGATAAATTCCTTAAAAACAAAGCCCAAAAGTAAGTGCAGCAAGAACTAGACCAATCTTTGACCTCAAAGTCCAGGCAAAAACTACGAAAGCAAACAAAACCCATTTACAAAACACAAAAAAGAAAGGGGAAAAAACAAAAGAAGGGGACAAAAAGGGTAACCTTGATGAAGCAACTTTTGGGCAGTTTCATTAGGATCCATGTTGGCCTCTTTCAAGGCAACGTAGATATCATCATCAGAGTGATTACCGACTATTTCCTTGATCGACTGTATTGTCTTGCTCACTCGCGCTGAGATATGCCCTTCGGTTCTTGCCCCACCGACCATCTCTCTGTTTCAAAATACTGCAAAAAAAAACAAAGAAAAGACAAAGAATATCTCACTTCCCACACTACTATCTCATTTAAAAAATAAAACCCAGTTCGATAATCCAAGTTCTATTCAGATTATCAATAGGGTTTCTTCGATTCTTTGGTGTTTAAGCAGTTTTTTTTGCATATATTATTACTATGAAAACCCTTTGAAAGAGTAAAACTAGGGTTTGCTATGAGTGAAGAACGGCTTTAATAAAAGGAAGAAGAGGAAAAAGAGAGTTGGCACCGATGGTTTTAAAATCTTTCCCCAATTCCTAATCTGTGCTCAGCTCAGCCAATGACTGATTTGTCCCTTTGATATGTCGTACAGATTATAAAGAGTTGCATCCATGAATTTTGAATTTATACCATCATTAGAATATCCCCTCCTCCTAAAACCCGATTACATTTTAAACAACTTCGGTCTAAAATTTTAGTTATGAAATATGCTCAGTCAAGAAGAGGATGACGATTTTTTTTTTAAATATGATTAAATATAAAGTAATATATGTTTAAATTTAATTTTTAATTTTTTACATTAAGCGTTCACATTTTTTATATTTATAATGTTTGAACACGAGTCATCAAGAAAAAATAACAATTCTTTTACCACAAAAGCTACTTGATTCTTACAATAACGAGTTATCTTGAATACTAACAATATTAGATATTTTAAACATTCTTTTGATTTTTATAAATTTATACATAAACATTAAATTATGCGTTTATTCCTATGGTTATATAATCTTTCTCTTTAACCTTGATGCAAGACTTCGGTCTTATTACTGAGAAGGGCAGTAAACCATGATTATATATTAGTATTTAAAGTTAGTTTCCTTTTTTTTAAAAATAATTTATTGAATTATTATAAAATAATTGTGTGATATTATAATCAATTGTTAAAATTTTAAAAAATTTAATAATTAATTTATAATATTTTTATGAAATTTAATGATCATTTTGTACTCGATTGAAAAAATAATGATCATTTGAAGGTAGTTTAGTAACTTTTTTATGTATTTTATCTTACTTTTTTCATGATTTTAAAATTACCAAAAAGGGATTGGAAATTTTGGGGGTCTATGTAAGATTTTCTTCTCTAAATTAAAAAATATATATTAATAAAGTATTATTGTATAAATATAGGGACTTGTAATTTCTAAAGTGTACAAAAACGGTACATTTGCATCTTTCGTATGCAAAGGGGGCAAAAGGCCCAAGGCCTCAACCCTCGCCATGTTTGGAGAAGTCTTAAATCTCGGAGAGGATGAAGTGTGGGCTGACCACTGACCATTTTTGTCTTATACGTGAAGAAACTATTCTTCATATCGTAAGAGACTGTCCGTCGACCCACAGGCCACATGATCTGGGATCATCTTCTTCCCAACAACTCCAAGCTAAGTTTTTTCCCCTTACCTCTTTTTGATTGGTTGGCTACTAATCTCTCTCATAATGTAGGATTGAACCAAAAAACATTTCACTGGAGGCATTTGTTTGGAATCTTAGTCTGACACTTACGGAAGCAACGCAATGCTTTTGTTTTCAATGGTCAGGTTCATTCAATTAAGGAGACCATAAGCTTGGCTTGAAGCTAGGCACAAGCCATCAAAGAAGCCCCCAGGAAGCAACCCCAGAATGACAGACCACTGACTAACAAACAACATGGCGTCCTCCTATCATTGGCTTGGTTAAACTCAATACGGACGGAGCTGTTCAGCACACAACTATGATAGCGGCTAGTGGAGGTCCGTTGCGTCATGCGTGATAGTAATGGCTCTTGGATCTTAGGTTAATGCCGGAATACCGGATGTTGCAGTGCACATGACGCTGAGCTTTGGTTTGTTCTCGATGGTCTTATGATCGCCTGGAACCAAGGATTTAGAAAACATTGAAGTTGATACTGACAACCAAAATTTAGTCAAAAACTTTAAACGCTCGTCCCAAGCTGCATGAACTAACCACTATTCGACGCATTCGTCGCGTGCTAGAGCTTCAGTGGACTGTCAAAATATCCCATATTAACCGAGATGCAAACATTTCTGCCGATAACATTGCCCACCACGATATAAAGGGTTGTTTGGGTCTCAATGTTCATCACCAGCCCCCGAGAAGACTTCAAAACATTTTGAACGTTGATGCTTCTGCTTTCAATAATCGAAATACTCACCGCTAGCCCAGTGTTGCCTTATAACCAAAAAAAATTAATATGTTTTTAATAATCTTTAATATTTTAATGATTAAAGCATTATAAATGGTTAAAACCTTTATTTTTATAAATTTAATGATCAAAATTTAACACTTATGAAACTAAAGTTGCCATTTCAGGAGTTTGTCCAAGATTTTATTGCAGAAAACAATTTGGTGAACCTTGGCAGAACACGACAAATACCAACTCAACAAAAAATATATTGAATAAAATATTTGAAACCAAACTTGAAAAGCAACAATGGGAGCTACTATTTTGAAGTGGCTGAAGCGACGCTGCGGGCGCTGGTGCGGACGGTGGCGGAGGAGGAGAGCTGATGGTGGTGACCGGTGAGTAAGTAACAGAACTTGAAAAGTTAATTCCTCTCCTCCCCCTTCTCCTTCTTTAAAATGGGGCTTTCAGAAGATATGTAAACAATGTTATCCAAGCTGATGTTTGCCTTGTTGGGTTTATTATAAAAAACAAAAAGATCCAAAACTGAAAAGAAGTGAGCGTTTCCTCTTTTGAAACAGAGGGACAAAGTTTTCTATTTATTTTGTTCGGAAGGAGAGGAAAAGGAGACATGCACAAAATTCAAGCTTAGTAAGATAGAACACTGCTCACTAGCGTTGTTTCTCATCCATTTTGTCAAAATCCCAAAGGTATATCACTTTTCTTCCTCTCCCTTTGTTTTTTTTTTTACTTCGTTTATGTAGTACTTCTTATCTATGTATGTATCTTTCTATATATGCTTAGAATGATTTTGTTGTGCCTATAAGGTTATAAGGCTTTGAAATTGATTGGATTTTGAGCATGGGACGGTGGGATGGAATCCATAGCTGATTGATGGGTTCTTATTTTTTTTATTTTGGTTCAACTTTGAGCTCTTTATTGGGAATTGAAGTTGTGGGATTTGCATGCATGGAAAAGCTTTTGAATTAGTGATTTTTGTTGACTTATTTGAGCAAGAATCCATTTTACTTTCTCTGCCTTTATGTTATTAGGAGTAAATTATTGGTAATATTTGGTATTTTTGTATCAAACAATTCCCTTACTGGTTTTCAATAGTCTCCTCAGTCATCACCCTTCTCCCACCACCCTTTAGATTAGCTGAGTATATATGCTAATGATTTAAAGTTGCTGCATTGAGATGTTTGAAATTGGAATGGTTTCATTCATCTCTTACTCTTCATTTTAAATCTGATCATTGCCCGATTTATTTGGCGTTAACGAAAAGGCATTACTACTTACTAGTAATACACGTAGCACTTGCTAAAGTGCATATTTGTATGGATATCAATATGTCACACGCTTCTTTGTTTGTTACTACTCGTTGATTCGAATCTAAAATCTAAATAGAAAATGTCTCAAAAGCTGATAATAGGAATATATTACATCCCTCCAATTTTGGATTGAAAATTTGAAGGGCTTTTTTTGTTAATAATCTTCTAAAAATCTAATTCATAGGATATATTAGTTCGATATCTGAATTCTTTTTCTTTAGAAAAATCCGAAATGAATTGAAAATGAACAAAAGTATTTTTTATTGTAGTTTTTGCATGGTAGTTTCCATGCTCGGTGAGGCCTTATCACCACAAAACAAGATTTGCTCTGAACTTATATTATAATTAGTCAATTATTAGATGATGAGCTACAATGAGGTGTGTGTAACTTTTGCAGATAGTTCTCCCCCACCCCAGAAGTAATTGTCTTTTGTATGTTTCTTATGGCTCTAACGGTCTACGAATGTGCACGAGAGTCCTAGTGAGCTCTCTTTACTCAACAATAAATATTTTGTCTAAATTTGGTTGTACACCGTGGTTGCTTTAAATGTTAAACTGCTTTCCATACTTGTTACTCTTATCTGTTGAAGTTGAATAACGTCGGTTTCGTAAATTTTCATGTATCACGTGAAAGAAGCGTTATGTTCATTGACTTCTTTCCTTTTTCTAATTTAAATATCTAGCAAGCACTGTGGTAATGTGTGGTTTGATGCTAAGTCGCTGGTGTATGTGCTGACTAACAAATAGCAGCAGAGATTTTCTCTCAACATTTTCAAAGATCCTTTCGAGCGTACTCTTAAGTCAAGTTATTTTGGAACAGTAGTCTAGAACAATGCAAAACAAAAGGGATTCTGTTGTCAGTTCTCATTCGACGTGCACCTATGTTGTTGGCGGCTCATCTTGGGAGAACTCAACCGGATCTCATATCCAGCAATCAAACATGTCTGAAAGCTTGAGCCTGAAGATGGGAGTTCTGCCTCGGTACTTAAATAACGCCAAGCAGCTGAGTTTTCAGTTCCAAGACCAGGATTCATCATCAACTCAATCAACTTGTCAATCTTATCCTGAAGTAGCTAGTGCTGGTGATAGCACTCTTCATGAGCAAAGTTTAATTTCAGCATCATCAGGTCTCGATCTTTGTGATTTTTCTCTCAATATATATTTTGGATTCTTTTTTCTTAAATTCTTATCAAGTGTCTAGGATTTTATTCTTTTATCATGAACATGTTATGTTTTTAAGTCATGTTCATGTTCTGATGGACTTTCTTATATTCTAACCTGTGGTAATGAAGTGCACGGGGAGCTTGTTGGAGGTCATGCTAAGTTAGTCTCCTCAATGGGAACTCAGGCACATGGGCCCGATCCTTCACAAGTTGACTTTAACAAATCAATCGTAAGTTATTAGTTGAACTACTTGTGTGGTTTGGTTGCTATGTATTCTAGATTGCATCATAGTCTTGGATTTCAATTATTGTGCTGCAGGCTCAGATTCCTCCCACTTATGCTGATCCGTATTTGAGCGGTGTGGTAGCTTCTCCGTATGCACCGCAAGCTATGGTAAGAACTTTTTGATTCCATTACTTTCCTATGTTGAATTTGTTTCTGTTTGATGGTGAGCACTCCACTCAGGTATCGCACCAGTTCATAAAAAAGGGGCTAGTTGCATTTATGTCAATTATACCTTTGTTTTGAATGACCAGACAAAAATGCCTTCGTTGTTATCCCATTTTTGAGGTATTTTTCATTATATTGCCGGCAGATTCAACCTCATACGATGGCTATGCTCCCTGGTCGTGTTCCATTGCCTCTAGAGCTTACACAAGATGAACCAGTCTATGTTAATGCGAAGCAATATCAGGCTATTCAGAGGCGAAGACAGTTTCGTGCGAAACTTGAGGCTCAGAACAAACTCATCAAAGTTCGGAAGGTATGTTGCTTCTAGTTTTTTACTTCTTGCCGCATGTCAATTGCAACTTCACCTACGATGATAGTCTGGTTGTTTGGCTAATGAAGATATATAACCTGAGAAGTTCTTTCATGAATATTTGCAGCCGTATCTGCATGAGTCTCGACATCTTCATGCTTTAAAACGAGCTAGAGGAAGCGGCGGGCGTTTTCTCAACACAAAGAAGCTCCAGGAATCGAACGGTATGCCTACAAGCAATGGACAAGAGATGTACATCTCCAACTCCGGAGTTCATCAGCTGGAAACCTACAAAGATGCTGCTTTGACCACCTCTCGTTCCAATGTCACGACTGCCTCCAACAATGGTGATATGTTCCAGCATCCGGATTTCAGGTTCTCCGGCTATCCTTCTCACAGTGCTGGACCCATGCCCGGTCATGCCGGTGATGTGCAAGGTGGTGGGAATTTCCACCATCATCTCTGAAGATAGAGGAGTTAACAGATACTCATCAGAGCAGTCTTGCATTTGGTGCCTCAATGCAGAAAAAAAGTGGCGGCTTTACCCTCTTGGGAAGTCATCCTTGGCTCTATTTACTTTGCTGTTCTAGTTTACTGTTTTTAAACCATGGACCTGGATCGGTTGTCTTGCCGATAAACTCATAACTTGCTGTGGTTTTTTACCGTTTATGTTCCGAAGAAACTTGGTGAATTGGTGACTGGTGGTGTCATTTAAAACATAAGATAAAGATGCATGGCTTGACAATTAGATCATGCCTTTTCAATTCCAAGATATGCCATTTCTGCATTTATGCATGCATGCATGCTGATGAAATGAGATAGCCGAAATAGGATTGAATTGAACATTTAGTTTCTCACATGGCATTGGCATGCTCTTATAGTTACTGGTCTAACATTTTGTTTCGTTTTAAATTGTAAAAGAATAGGAAAAACATTTAAGTAGGAAGGAATCTCTAGGAAAATGCTTCCTTTTTCCTAAGGATATATATTGTTGTACCACCTCTAAACGTCTAAACGTCCTCCGCAGACGCATGTCATTTCCGCATATCACATGTATCATAAAAGTCCCGGAGAAGGAACCTCTCCATAGGTAGGATCCCCAAAAAGCACCTCCGAAAGATTTTCGAACATTTAACATCCCTCAAGAAGTCGTAATTTGTTGATATGATCTCTAACATGTCCATGTGACTTACCAAACTAAATTTATCATCACTTATCCTACGGATAGTCATATTGACCTTGTGCATCATTATAAAATCTCTACATTAAAACTGAGAGAGAATGAAACCATCCCACCTTCATTCATCTCTTTTCTCTTTTCTATCTTCATATGAAGATAGAATTTGTACCATCGACTATAACTACCCAAACCAATCAATCTATCTTCGACTGTAACTTTTCACCCAAACCAAGGATTAATCACATAAAACCGTCACAATTCATCTGTCTTGCAAAATTATATCGTATTATTTTTTTTAAAAAAATATCTGATTCTTTTAATCAATTATAGACGCCGGACGTAATACTATTAAGACGCACCTGTTGAATACTGTTAAAATATGCACAATCTTAATATACTAATTCGCATTCAGACTTTAGAGATAATTATTACAGTGAGTACCTTCTATGCAAGTAAATAGCTAAACGAATATAGAAGAAAAAAAGACGAAACATAGGTGAGCGACCAATGAAAAAAGAAACATAGTAGAAGGATCTTCTACGCAATTTTGACCAACAAAGAAACCAGATGATGATGTGTCTTTTTCTAACCTCCATGTCATCGGACTCAACACCCTCCCCTCAAATATAGTTAACCCGACCAGCAAACCCAGATTCAAATCCACTCTAAAACTTGGAACTTTAAAAATCATACTTGACCGGAAGTTCTACCATGCGGCTTCTTAATATTCTATTAAAGAAAAATATTATCAGTTTTATTATTATTTTTTAATAATTTTAGTAAAAAATTATTTAAAATAGTATTATTTTTATCTAAAATATTAATTATTTTTAATATTTTTAGTAAAGTGTTCAATAATAACAAAACCGATAAAAAAATAATGTTTTAAGTAACACTTTACCGCATATGTTACTAAAAACCAATAAAACACACAATAATAACAAAACCGGTAGAAATAATAATGTTTTAGGTAATATTTTTACTGAAAATATTAAAAAAATAATAACAAAACCGATAGTATCTTTCCTTAATGATATATTAAGACTGTTGCACGTGAGACTTCCCCAAACTTGACACATCAAAGTTCATGATCAAATTAAAAAATACCCCGCATTATCTTTGGGAAGTTCTACCGTACGATGATCTTAATATACAGTTAAAAAAAGATATTACCAAAAATATTATTATTTTTTTAACATTTCCAATAAAAGATTACCTAAAATATTATTATTTTTATAATAAATGTTATTATTAGAAGTTTTATAGGATTTAATAATATATATTGTAAAGTGTTACCTAAAATATTATTTTTTTTTACAGAATATATTATCAAACTTGATAAAACATCCAATAATAACATTTTTAATAAAAATAATAATTTTTTAAATAATTTTTTTATCAAAAATATTAATAAAATAGTAATATTTTTTGTACTATTTTTTTTAATAGTATATTAAACAGTCGTGATACTTCCAGTATCCTTCTCTTCCCAGACATCAAACAATCAATGACAGACAAAAAAAAATTAGATCACTCTATTCACATATATAATGGGATAAAGAAAATGTATGATAGTAAGTTACCCTCAATGTTAGATTAAAAGTAATTTATTTGGAATACCTCCAATAATTATAAATTATTTGACTCAATCTCATAATTATAAAATTAAAAATTTTGCGCTCTATTAACTAAGTGGACGGTCAATTCAATGACAGAACAAATCATTAATATAATATAAATAGAAAACAACAGTGGTGTCGCTTTTTCACTCATAGCAAAAAAAGGGAAGATTTTTCTTTTTGTATCTTTGGGTCTTCGAAACAGAGGAAGAGAAATATGGAAGGAGGAGGAGCTCAGTACAATCCTCGCACAGTCGAAGAGGTTTTTAGGGATTTCAAAGGAAGAAGAGCTGGCATGATCAAAGCTCTCACCATAGGTTTCTTTTTCTTCCTGTTTGTTTCCTCAGAAAGAAAACTCGAACTAGAAACTGAAAGCTACTGTTTTTTTCCTTGCGAAGCCCGTTTGAATTCTTGGAAGTTTCATTTTTTTTAATTCAGTTTGACAAATGAAAGTAAAGGTTGTCTTGGGTTTCACTCTTTTCTCCTGCTTTCTGTTATATTTAGTGTTTCCTTGTTCTTTTTTGCTGGTTTTCATTGTTTGGTTCTCGAGATATGTAAAAAGGATTGATATTTTATGCTAAGCACTTTCACTTTATCAGCTCTCTTATTGTTGCAGAAAAAATTAGCTGAAAAGAACGTGAATGTATGCTTGAATTTAGTGTTTCTTGTTTGGGTTTTGTGTGTATAATGATGTTTTTTGAGATTTAAGGGTTTGATTCTGACGTGTTGCAGATGTTGAAGAATTTGCTCTTATCCTTGTGGTTGTGAGATCGAGTCTCATGTGGGCAATTCATAATTCTAACTAGGAGGTCTTCCCTTATCCTACCTCCCCTTATCTCGTTATATATGGAATAGGGTAAGTTAATTTTTGTTAGACCTAAATTTTTAATTTTACCTTCTGGCTGTAATGTGTATAAAGTTAGTCAATCTCCCATAATGTGTAGTTTCGTGTGTTGTTGCGATATCGATGTGTATTAAGTTGATGATGGTTTGTTGATTTGCATCCATGTTCTGTTCATGAGTTATGTTCTTTCATTTTGCAGAGAAAGAGAACCTGTGCTTGTATGGTTTCCCAAGTGAACAATGGGAAGTCAACTTACCTGCCGAAGATGTCCCTCCGGAACTACCCGAGCCTGCCTTGGGTATTAACTTTGCAAGGGATGGCATGCAAGAAAAGGACTGGCTATCTTTAGTTGCCGTCCACAGTGATGCATGGCTACTTTCCGTTGCCTTCTATTTCGGTGCAAGATTTGGATTTGATAAAGCTGATAGGTAGGTTTAACTTGCTTGCATAGTTAATGCCAATGCATCGGCATTATGGCCTGGCACCAGTCCTGCTATTGAATGGCCAGCTTTTGGAACCAAGAGGATAAAATGGAAAAAAGGTTTAGGTGGATTTGATTGAATTATGTCGGAACTTGATAAGCTCGAGATGGAAATCTTTCACCGATATTTATAGTATTCTGTTTGGTCACTGGATTGTTAAACGCGATGCTAGTATAATGTCTCCTATGATACAGGAAACGGCTTTTCAACATGATTAATGATCTTCCGACTATTTTTGAAGTTGTAACCGGTGCTGCCAAGAAACAAACAAAGGAGAAGTCATCGGTTTCAAATCATAGTAGCAACAAATCGAAATCCAACTCCAAAATGGTAAGGACGTTCTGTTCGTAATTCGGTGTAATATAATTGTAACGACACGTAGGTGGCAACTATCCATGCATGTTTCAACGACATTCATTTGCTATCATTTATACTAATTGAAGTTTACCTTTTTTTAGTTTAAGCATTATGGCTTCTTCTTTTTAATAACTGATTTGTTTTGCTGTTGATTTTGTTCGGAACAATGGGAACCTTAGGCAAAGCATTCAAAAGCATCAGAGCCAAAGGACGAGGAGGAAGGGTTGGAAGACGAAGATGGAGACGAGCATGGAGAGACCTTGTGTGGGGCATGTGGCGAGAACTATGCCTCGATGCGCCTTAAGCCTTTGATAACTTTGATGTGCGAGAGGTGGTTCCATGGGAAGTGTGTGAAGATCACGCCAGCTAGAGCCGTGCACATCAATCAGTACAAATGCCCGTCGTGCAGCAACAAGAGAGCTCACCCTTGATATCGTAAAAATGTATCATTTCTCCCTCATGCAGTATATCTGTATATCTATTTGTACTTTAATCATGGTGTACTCATCTAGCTCTCGGTTGTAGCTCGTGTCTTTCCATATATTGGACTAGTGTAGCATGTGAATGGTGACTTTGGTCTCTAGGAAAATCGATGTTTTCAAAGTCGAAAAGTATTTAAATTCATTGTTGTCTCCCATTAAACTAACCTGTCGAAGAGGCTACAACAAAAACCTGAACTGAACCAAGTAGAAATCATAACAAAATACTTGGACCAACCCGGAAAAATAAAAGAAAAGAAAAACAAATCCAGCAACACAGAAAGAAAAGAACAGTGGAGCTTGACGGAGAAGATCTTCATATTTAACCCTTCAGCCTTGATCTTTTCCGATGTTAAGAGTCGATAAAGGCTAATTCAATATTCTTGTCGACGGATGAGCTCTAGCAGTTGGGTTCTTGTGGATCTCCTAATCATACGCGGTTGGTGGTCTGCCATAATCTGGGGATTATTACTTAATACCTGGGCTTAGACCCCATCCGCGTGCCTAAATGCGAACCAAAATGAACCTATTTCGATTAACTTAAACAACAAATATATACATGAAGAGACATATATATGCATAAACAAGGGTTTATCTATTAAATAAGCAAACCACTACAAGACCAGCCTCGCTGTCCAGCAATACGTTGTTTGCCATTCTCCCTTGTCGGGAATTAGTTTCCTGTATTTAACTTCACTTCGGCCCTTTATAATAACCCCTTCTAGTTACCCCCATTCTCATTGCCATTCTCTCTTTTTGTTTTGGCAAACCAGAAATGGAAAATTTAGAGAGGGTAAGCCATGGTGGAGAAGCAGGGCACATGCTAAAGCTATCAGACAAATACACTGCCTTTGCTTTTGCATGTACCTTGTCTCTCCACCTTGGAAACTCTCCCTTTGCTAACCCCAACAATTCTGCACATCATCCTTGCGGTTTGTTCGTTTCGTGACTCGGTTTAGTGTTTATTCGTTACGCGATTGTTTCGTGTTCGTTTTAATGTCATGTCGATTATGTTTTCACTAACAAATTTGACAGTGTCAATCCGACATTTGACACCAAAGCAGTACCAGCCACTGTCCAACAATATATTGTTTTCCATTCTATCTTGTCGGGCCTTTGCCAACTTATTACACACGGATGGCTACTTTCCTGAATTCGACTTCATTTCAATCTTCATAAAACCCCTTGTAAGTACCCCCATTCTCATTGTCTTTCAATGCCCTATGTTTCCAAATTATCTTTTCAATGTCCTACGTTCACAGGTGTTTTTATGAGCTTCTTTGTTTCAGCAAACCTGAAATGAAAAAATGGAGAAGAGTCTGGGTCAGCCATAGTGGAGAAGCAGGGCACATTCAAAAGCTATCAGATACTGTCTTTTTTATTTTGCATGTGCCTTGGCTCTCCACCTTGGAAACTTTCCTTTTGCTAACCACATGACTGCATAACATCGCTGCAGTTGTTTCGTGACTCGGGTTTAGTATTTATTCGTTATATGTTTGTTTTGTGTTCGTTTTTAATGTCAAGTCGAATATGTTAGCTTATAAATTTCTAACATCATCCATGCATGCAGAAACTCGAAATTTAAAATTTTACTGTACATTTTTACAGGCTTGAATGTTAAAAAATAAACAATCTGGATTGTAGTAAAGCTTCAATGAGTTAATTTACTTTCATAAGTTTGCTGACAAAACAAACCAGAACTTAAATATACGTTCCAAACTAGTAAGTTTTTACAAACATTAGGTGACTAAAACGTTGTAAAATCGTACTCTTTTAGGTGAATCGACTGTCAAGCCTTTGAGTTTTGAACCTTTAATGCCATTAAGCTTAATGAGAAGTTCACAAATGATAGATTCTTTCAAATTAAGTTACTGAAATATAATTAAAATTCAAATCAATAACAGAAACCAAGAACTTGTAAAAGAAGCAAAGAAAAGTCCCGTCTCAAGCAAAGGCATTGGCTTCTCTTTCGGCTCGAACCAAACTAGCATAAACACTGTCGGCATGTGAAGCTAAAAGCTTCTCATGGCTGCCATGTTCGACAACGGCGCCATCTTTGACAACAGCAATCATATTGGCTTCCCGGATCGTGGAAAGCCGGTGTGCGACTATGATCGTGGTGGCACTCTGCGAAACCCTTCTAAGTGCATCCTGGATATGTTTCTCTGATTCCAAGTCCAGGGCACTGCTTGCTTCATCTAGAAGCAACACCCTTGATTTCTTCAGTATGGCCCTTGCTATTGCTATCCTTTGTTTTTGACCACCCGATAACTGCACCCCGCTCTCCCCGACCTGTTTTGCAAGAAAAGGCAAGATTATTTGTCAGATAATTGAGCATAAGGTGTTATTAAAACTTAATGTCGTCTACATGTCTAAAACCGGTATGCGTTTAACTTGTATTCTAAGTTAGACAGTACCTGAGTTTCATAGCCTTCAGGGAGACTACTAATGAACTTGTGGATGTAAGCTTCCTTTGCAGCCGCTTCAATCTCGCTCCACGAGGCATTCAGGTTCCCGAATGCGATGTTTTCCCTTATACTTCCAGCAAACAAAGCAGGCTCTTGACCCACCATGGCTATTTGTTTTCTCAACCATTTCAAGTTGAGCTCCTTCAAATCTATGCCTCCCATCATTACTTTCCCTTCGATTGGATCATAAAACCTTTGTACCAACCATATCACCGTCGATTTCCCCGACCCGCTTCCGCCTACCACTGCCACTGTGCTACCACCCTTGACCTTTAAACAGAAGTCCCTCAACACAATCACTTGAGGCCTAGATGGATAAGCGAATGTCACCTTTTTCAATTCAATATCCAGTGGCTTCGACAGTTCGATTTTTCTAACTTTATCTCGGAAGTTACCAATCAGTGGCCTCCGATCGAGGATATCGAACACGGAAGGTATTGCTGTCGCGGCCCTGGTGGTGTCTGGTGCAAGGCCTGCTAGTTGTCCGACTGAAAACGAGCTTAACACGAGAATGAGAAAGATTTTATATACATCACCGAAACCCGTATGGCCTTGTTTCATAAGGTAGGCACCATACCAAAGTGTCAAAGTGTATGCACAATACATTGCACCTTGAGAGAAACCGAGTGTGAGGCCTAGAATTTGTGACCTTTTCACTGATTGTTTCCTAGGCTCGGATAAAGCTCTATCAAAGGACTTAACTATCTCTTCTTGTGAAGAAAATGTTGCCACTGTCCTTATATTCGAAATTGCACCGGAAGCGATGTTGCTAGCTTTGTCATATGCTTTGTTATCTAACCTTGGTCCAATGTTTATGATCAAATTCAAGTAGCTTGCACCAAGAGTAAAAGGTGTAACGGCAGCAGCCACGAGAGCTAATCTCCATTCGAGGTAAAACGAGACACCAAGCCCCACTGCAGCTGCACTCACACCCATCAACAAGACTGAGTACTGATCCCCAAGGACCGATCGAAAACTGAGACAATCAATTGAGAGTCTTGAAACAAGGATTCCAGTGGAATTGTCCTCGAAATCGAACCAGCCAGGTTCTTGTTTAAGTATCGAATGAAATAAGAGGTCTCTCACCCTTTGTGTCAACTTTGTTCCAGCCCAACCACAGAAACCTTGTTGTCCAGTCAAGGTAATTATAGAACCGAAGCCTAGGCAGACGAGTGCTAAGGCGAGCTTGTTAACTTCTTTCTTCAACTCTTTTGGAGTGTCATCAAAGTAAGCTTGAAGAGCTATGCCTAAAAACAAGGGGAAAATGGAGAGAATAGCACCTGCATGGATACCGAAAAGAAAACCGAGTAAAAGCGTGACGAGCTCTGGTCTTTGTAGAGACCATATCTTCGAAATTCGATATTCTCTAGGCTTTTGCTTTTGTTGCATTTCCTCCTCTACTTGGTTAACTACTTGGATTGACTTCAAGTACTTCGACCGTGAAATATCATACGCAGACGGCGATCTCAATGTTTCATAGGCTGATTTCTCATACTTAGAAAACTCAATTCCCTTTTGAGCATGTGTCTCATTTGGTTCAGGGTTTGATATTGCTTCAGAAGCAAGCTTGATAAGTTTATAATAGGCTCCTTCTCTTTGCATTAGCTGGTGATGGCTACCAGCCTCGGCAACCGATCCATTATCGAGAACAACAATTGTGTCGGCATTTCTTACCGTTGCCAGCCTGTGAGCAATGACCACTGTTGTTCTTCCCTTAGAAATCTTGTCAATTGCTTGTTGGACAACTGCCTCGCCTTCAGCATCCAGGGCACTGGTAGGCTCATCTAAGAGAAGGATTCTCGGATCTTTAATCAACGCACGAGCTATAGCGATTCTCTGCTTTTGACCACCTGATAACTGAGTTCCCTTCTCTCCCACCTGCAAAATCCATTTTTGAGGTAAGAAAATCAGTACATGTATGCACTTAACAAATTCATCGATGTTTGATGTACGGTTTCGGTTGTTGACCTGAGTATCGTATCCTAGTGGAAGATCATAGATGAAACCATGAGCATTGGCAGCAACACAAGCTGCAACAGCTTCTTTCTTGGTGGCATTTTCCTTGCCCATCATCACATTTTCCAATATCGTCGTGGCAAAAAGAATCGGCTCTTGTCCGACCATGCCGATTTGCCTTCTTAGCCACTTCACTTGTAGTGTCCTCAAATCATAGCCATCCAAGGTTATTGTTCCTACCGGTTAAAGGATCCAAACCAGATTAAGAACTATAAAACATCACATACTTGAGCTCAATGAAATGATTCGTTTGAGATGATTAATGAGCTTACCTTTTATGGGATCGTAGAACCTCTCGATGAGAGCAAAGATGGTAGACTTGCCACCTCCACTTGCTCCAACCAACGCAAGCGTCTTCGCCGATCGGATAACCAAATCGAGAGAACGGAGAATTGTAGTATCAGGACGAGATGGATAAGCAAAAGTTACACCTTTAAACTCGATCTTTCCTCGAACACTTGACAACATCCTTCCTTCAGGATTATAAGGGTCTATCTCTGGAACCCTGTCTATAATATCAAACACTCGAGCCGCTGCTATGGTGCCTTGAGTGAATTGAGCAAAATATGTCAGTGATAATGCCAAGCCCCTGAAATAAAAAAGATCAAACAACTTGGTGATTTTGTTTTGCAATCAGCATTAGAAGCTGCACTCTAATGGAAGAGACGTTGATACCTTCCCCCAACATTGACACCAAAGAAGCAAGCAATGGCTTCACCACCGGTGATCTCGTTCCGAGCAACCAAGATCGAACCATACCAAAAGGCCAATGCCCATGTTGAATATGTAACTAAATAAATAACCCCGATTCCGGCACCCTTGGCAAACCCGATCTTCGCACCAAGAGGCACCGATTTTGACAATAATTCACCATATCTTGCTGCCAAATTTTCCTCGGCAACAAAAGAAAATACAGTTCTAATCGAACCAATTGCTTGCTCTGCAATGGTACCAGCTTTCCTGTAAGAAACCTGTAGTGCCAGAATATGAACCGAAACACAATAAGAATAACAAGTTGACACTGTAAACATTTCCGGTAACATGTGTGATACTCGGTACCTCTTCCTTTGCGGTGAGACCGCCGTAAATTGCCTTGTAAGCAATGCCACAAGACATCATTAGTGGGGTAACAGAAAAAACTACCAGTGCCACTTTCCACGCTGCAATAAACCCGACTGCGTAACCGCATACGAAGGTGAATACATGGTGAATGAAATGTGCCATCTGCATAGCATAGTTCAGGTTTTGAACAATCATATCAGGTTCAGTGCTAGTTGGCTGTGTAAGAAGGGTGAAAAGTCCAAACTTTTTGGGTTACCTTCTCTCCCATAACTTCCTGGATTTGAGCAACATCACTTGAAATACCATGCATAATGTCACCGGTGTGAACTTGTGTGTCGAAAAAACTGATGTCCTGTCTCAAAATTGCTCTCAAATACTTTGTTCTAATCCGTTGAGCCGAACGTTCCCCGACCAGCCTCCAGCAGGAGATTTCTGCCATTTATTGAATGAAAAACCATTTCTAATACTTACAGAAGATACAAAGAGAAGTGACAGTTCAAACAATCTATGTCTTTCATTACCTAAGTATGCTCCAATCACCACTATTGCTGCCAAGAGAGACATAAATTGGCATATCTGCAGATACATAAGCGGAAGAAAAGACAACATAAGTTTTTCGAATGTCGACCGAAATTCGGGTATAAAAAATATAAGATTTCTTGTTTCAGTTTTTACCATCTGAACATCCTTCATCATCTGTGTTTTGTCACCTTTTGATTCCTTTGCAATCTTATTGACAAACTTACCAAACAGAAAAGAATACCAAGGAAGTGAACCCCCATTGATTAAGGCTCCTACACAACCCAAAATCACAAGTACTATATCCCAATTTGTTGAATACCTGAACAAACTCAACAAACCAACTGGCCTATGTGGTTCTACATCCTCTTCCTCCTCGTCATCTTCGTAGAAATTCGGTGCCGGATTGAAGTCATCGTACTTGTGATCACCACTGAATTGATGGCTTGCTGATTGCAAGTTATGGTCAAGACCTTCCAACTTGTGTCTCATTTGAACACTGTAATGTGATAATCCATGACCGTGATTACTATGAGCACCGAATTGATGGCCATCAAGATTACTATGAACACTGTCATGTGATAATCCATGACCGTGATCGTGCCCTGTAATACTATCTTCACAAAAATCCTTTGAAAAGCTAAGATCATCATATTGATGATTACCATGAGAATGATGGCAAGTTGATTTCCGAGCATCGTGACCAGCAAGCTCGTGCTGCATTACTAGATCAATTTCATTATCCACCCTGTGTCTCATGTGATGGCTCCTACCATGCTGATGATGCCCCCCTAGCGAATCCTCATCCCGATCAGCATCCATATATGCCTGTGAAACCGATGAACAATAGGAACCGGTGCCAGCATGAACATTACGATTGGTCCGTGACAGGTCTAATCGTCTCTCATCTTGTCGAGTGTCATAATCTATAGAGCTAAGCTCATCAACATCGGTCAAAGGACTCCGACTGTTCTTACTGCCGCTTTCTCTGATAGTAGCCAGCCTCGAAATATCGTGATTAGACCGACTATGATCTTGGAAACGGAGATGCGACGAACTGTCATCGTCTCTAGCGACATAGCTTTGAAGCTCAAGCCTCGCTGAAGGCACAGCTCCGTAACCTGAAAACTCGTAGCTCGAATTCGCAAAGTTTCGAAGCCCACCAGAAGTGCGAGAAAGATAATGTTCACTAGCCAAGCGTCGGCCTAATGCCTGACTATTCGATGATGACACAGTGGATGCCGCCCAAGGACTAAGGGCAGCACCCAAATCGCGGCTTTCGCGCCAACCGGAAGGCTCAAACTGCCATGAAACTTCACTTTGCCATGACATATCATCGTCGGTGGCGAAAGGTGTGGAAGGAGGACGATGGCTGAGCCTCCGCGGAGTGGTGTGGGGCACTCGAGCAAAGGTGCGTGGCGTGAAAGTAGTACTCGAGGCATAGCGTGAAGCCGGCGTGTGGTAGTTTAACGATGAAGAGAACTCAATTTCAAATGAAGAATCAGCCATGGAAGAGATTGAAAGGTAAGGGTCTAATGAAATATTGGAAAAAAGAATCTGAAATTAAAGTGTTGAACAAAGGAGAATGAAGTTATGAACACTACAGACAACATGAAACGAAACAAAGTTTCAAGGAAGAGCTGTCCGAAGACTATCATATGCTCCTAGGAGTCAACGAACATTACTCATTCAGCTTGTCTTTTCATCGAACACCAAAAATCAGTCGTTGTGTAACTCACAAAAATCAATGGTGTTTCGTTAAGATCGTGCAAATGAAGAAAAACAGCCGATCAAAACTGGTTAAGTAATCAAGGTTACCAGGCGAGGCCGGCATGCAATAAAAATTAAAACTTTATTTACTAAAAAATGCAATAGAAAATTGTCTTGTAGTATTCTGAAGATGTTTTTCTTGTAGTTCTTTTTGGGACAATGACATTGAGAGTGACCTGACAGCTATAACAAAAAGGTAAAACAACTTTCATAGTCCTTCATGTTTGCAGTTTTTATCATATGACCCTTACTCTTTAAAAATTTAAAAAGATATTATCATTAATTGAACAATATAATTTTTAAGAGTTAAATTAATAAAATAACAAACATGTAAAACTAAGAAAATTCTTTTGCTTTTTTTCTATAGTTGTTAAGTTAGCAATTAACGGTGAAATTGAACACAGATTGATAGAGGATTAAGATTTTAAAATAAAAATAGTATAAAGACTTAACGTCATAAAATAAAAGTATTTCAAGTAAATTTTGAATTTTGAAATAGTTTAAGGACTTTTGGCATATTTAAACCTTAAGTAATTTCTTGTAGAACTGTGGGACATTAAACTAATGCAAAAGCAACAACGCTTCGCCATTTGTCATTGAAGTGCCTCGAAGATGCGTTGTTGACCAGACTAACTTTGTTTTGAATTTCATTATTATTAAAAGCAAAATCTCAATTCTGAGAGGTGCAAAACATGTCCGGCCAAGGCCAAGCTGAAGAAGATTTACTAAAAAATTCTTCACCATTTAAATTCCCTTTGCTCATGCTTGATTCTATCCTGCTGTCCTATCTGTTGAATGGCTTACAAAAGTATACATTTGGATCATCTTTTCAATATCATGTTATGTTCCATCATGCATGCATGCATGTATGTAAGTCAGATTTAACTGTCTTGGAAAACAGTAGGAGAATAGTTTTTTCTGTCACTCCCTATTGTCGATGACAGTGTACAACTTTTGATATACATCATTAGGGCAAGAGCAAGTGAAATGGACAAAAACAATGGCTATGGACTCTACCAAAATCAAAGCAACTTTAAGCGAACGGGCGATTTCTTGTTTGAGACAATATGTAACCGTACCTAGACACAACAGAAGATTTACAAATCCCATTTTCGATGTGATACTGTTCAGTATATCATGCCCACCCCAAGCATTTATACCTATGTTTTCCATTATACCCTATTGTTTTAAGATGATTCCGAGCACTTTTCCCAGACTTCCCTCAGACGAACTTTATCTTGGCTTCAAATCGTTACCTTTGCTTCGGAATGTCGAAGTGGAAAGAATGAACTCGGTGCTGCAAAATTACCGTTACAAATAGAAACCATGAATACAACACAAGAACAGACTAAAAGTTTCTTCTGAATATTCGTAAGACACGAAGAGTCCCCTTTTATGGAGCTTCCTGACATATGATCTTCCCTTAATTTGAAGTTGGCCGGTGGTGCTGGAATGGAAGTTCGTAGCAATTGAACTGCAAGGGAACATTGATGACTCTACTTTAATACCGGGTTTGTATATACAACAAAAGAAATGGAGATGATGTAACAAAGAAAAGAAACATGCATCATCAAGTTCAATGAGCAAGCCAAAATTAAATTTAAAATTTTGGCATGCATGTATCATAAATTTTGGAAACTGGTGTAGAATAATATTAAACCATGCATGCAATCGATGAGAATTCAAGTTAACTAACAGATATGGATAAATAAAATAATCAATGAATACGATAACTAAGAATAAGGGAATTGACATGTAAGGAAAACTATAGGAGTTACCCTGATCATTGAACAACCCGCTTTCACTGAAGCCATCATCAGAAGGATGGCCTTGTAAAAATCCCATGCTCGACCTCCTCAAGTCTTCTGATGATCGATCACAGGATCTCTGCCATCCTCTATGTCATCATCTCCTTCAGAAGTTTTAGCTGAGATCCAATCCACCAAACTGTCTTCCCCATGGCTTTTCCGTCCAAATTTCAACAACTTTTTGAACCCATCTGTCACATCTCTACGTCACTGATTATGGGCTACACTACTAGCAACATGAAAAGGTTTCTCAGCACTTTCCCATTTTTTTCCTCATTCGAGCTGCGTCCATCTCTGTTTGATCGAGTGGGAATTCCAAGATTCGGGGCTCCCGATGGGAGAATCCGCTGAAGCATCAAAATCTGAAGTCTTGCGGAGATAAGAAAATGGATTATGCATGCATGAACTCCACGACACAGGGCTTTCGACTGGTGAATCTTGCAAGGATGGAATGTAGTGGGAACAGCAGCAGGCAGCTCAGCAACTGATGCAGGGTCAACCTTAGAGATCTCAAGAAATCACCATTCTTTGCTCCAGAAGACTTGTCAGATTCCTGGCTCAAGCTTGCCGTTCCGTTTTCCATCTCAACAGAATCATCAACTGCTCTAGTTTCAAGTTCGTCCTCTTCATCTTTTGCCACATCCATGGAATCATCTGCTTCAAATGCTAGCTCGTCATAAAACTCTTCATCTTTTGGAATCACAGATGCCTGATGCTTTTAGCTTTGCAATATTTACTCCAGCACCAGGACCTATACCATTAACTTTACTGAGAAAAGGCTTTCCATATTCTTCAAAAAATTCCATTTAAGCTCAGTTCCATCTGCTCCATATCAAATTTCAAAGGTTCCAAAACAATGCCGTCCGAGTTTAAGGAAGACATATCAGAAAATTCTACAGGACCAGCAGTGCTTTTTCTAAGGGACTGAGACCATAGACACTGGTCATCCTTGCCAAGTTCAAACTCTTCATTGTTACTCTCGCTCCGAGCAAGGTTTCTCACTTAGGAGTAGCTAGTTGTCTTGCTATCTCCGGGAGAGGGCTTTGTATTTTCTTTTCTAAAATCAGAAAAGTTTGAAACCGACTGTGCGAGAGGATTCTCAGATTGGACTCTCCGCCTACCAGAACTGGGGAACGAAACTTTGGTCGCAGAACATGGAACTGCAGCTGCTGTGGTACAAGGAGTGGATAAAGACACATTTCTACATGGAAAATGCTTCTTGTTGTTGGAGCTCTAGAAGATCCATCGACAAAAGATGTGTCATTATATGTTCTATCATGTTCATAGTACTCCTGATCGGGAAACTCAAAAAAATAATCTTCACTTTGAATTGAACTAATTGGATGCTGCCAAATGCAGAACCTTATCAAAATTAATAATAAATTATTCAATCACAAGTTTTCAAATTCCCAAAACTTAAAAAGAAAAAAGAATTAAAAACAAAAAAATGTTCAGTTCCACCAGTTATGAATTTCGGCATTCATTTCCCGAAAACCTAAATGCTATAGGAGATACCTGCTCCCTCTGTGACCGAAAATTGAATGACCTCACTTTCTCAGCTCGTCGACGAGCATTAGACATAGAATCCAGTCTATCAACAGAACCAGAAAATTTGGCCTTCATCTCAGCTCTACTTTGCTCAAGACTATCCTGCATAGCCTTCAATTTGGCTTCCTTATCAGCCCGTTTCGAACCCCTTTCTTCCCTCAGCTTTGCATCTCTCTTTGCATGTACCTCTCATAAAATTTTCCTCCAGAATCATCTGAAAAGGTGATACTGGAGAAACTCCGCCTCAAACTATCAGAAATATCCCGGTTATCTGCCATCTTTGTGGGAGTACAAAAGTTAGCCACATTACTCAAAATACCCATTGGTGCAGGAATCATGTTTTTGCTGGGCATCTGTATGGGAGATACATCTACTGTCACTGGTTTTTTGTACTCCGAGCTTGGTTCAGGTTCAATCTGTGCATCAGCAGGCCTGCTTCTCCTTGCCGAACCGAATAGATCAGCCGGAACCCGAAGTTTGTGCTCTGCAAAAAGCTTTTCAATTTTGTTTGCCTTCATTTTAACTCATCGTTCAGCTCCTGACTTTCCCTTGACGGCCTTATCCTCTGAGTTTGATCTATTAGCACCATCGGGACACTTACACTCTCTTCACTCTGAGGAACCGCTTCAACAAGAACAGACTTGTTATTTGCATAAACAGAACCACCTTTGTCCTTCCTACCCTGTGACTTCTTGCTTGATTCAGAGCCTAATGGAAACTGTTTTTTGAATTTCATTTCATGGGCTCCAGAATTATAACCTTTGCCTATTTGCTTCTCAGATGATGCTAAGTCTGTCTGTCCCACTACCTCAGCTTCCACGTTAAAAGATCTAGGCTGTTGATTAGGAGTAAACTGGTCAGCTTCACTTTCTTTGTACCGAACCTCCTTAAGTTTTAATCTGATACCACCTTCAAACTGCCCTGATAATGTCCTGGAGAGGCCTTGAGGCCTAAAACGCGATTGGGATACCGATTGGTCTTTCCCTTGAGCCTCGACTCTTTTCTTTAATTCAACCACAGGCGTATCATCGCCCACGGAATCTGCAAATACTAAATCGGGGAACTGGGAAGCAGGTTGGTTTTTAACCCCTTCAATCACAATTCTATCAGGAACAACCCGAGACTGAACCTCTGAACCTCCCCTCTCTCCTCTTAAAGAACCCATAAACTTCCCCTGAGAAACCACTTGATCACCAAACTCAGCCTTCTCCGACTTACCTGTAAAAGACTGATAATGGCCGTTCTGTGGTCCTGATTGAGCCTTCCAATGCATTTGCCCCTTTAACCCTGCATCCCCTTCTTTTCCCAAAAGATTATCAGCTATTTGTGCTTGCACTTCACCCTGATCTTTCAACCCAGAACCAGCAGCTCTAGAAGGAACACTCTTAGGTTCAACTCTAACTGAACTTACCTTGTTACTCAAATCATTCTCATCTTTCTGTTTCTTATCCTCGGATAAACCTTGAAACACGGAGTTGTTACCTTGTGACACAGAAGTGAGGAGGGAGAGCACAAAGGGTTATCCGTATTATCATCCTTGTCATTACCCAAGTCGATGCTTGG